AGTATGACAGTGCATACTAATGGCGCATCACTGGGCAGTGCGCCATTAGTATGCCGCGGTTACTAATGACGCATCCAGTGGTGGTGCGCCATTAGTATGCCAAAGCACCTGGGTATACATGGCCCCTGGGAGGCATACTAATGGCGCACCCTGGCCTATACTAATGGCGCACCCGCGGTGCGCCATTAGTATACCAGATACTAATGGCGCACCAGGTGGTGCGCCATTAGTAAAAATTACTAATGGCGTGCTATTAATGGCGCACCACAGATGCGCCATTAATGGCCATATTAGGTGCGCCATTAGTAGGGGTTTTTCTAGTAGTGTAGCTACCTGAAATTTAGCTCATAAGAAAGCAATACACTGCCTATAATTTATCTCATGTATACTCAACCCCCCTCAGGTCAAGAATACAAAAAAAGGTGCCAAAACTCATAAACATTACCGACAAAGTGATCTTGAGTATTCAAACTAAATAAATAGAGAATGATTAGAGATAACAAACACGGAAAAAAGTGGTATAGATCTACCATTCACTTGCATGACAGTATTGAGCAAGTGACAAGGAAAACTACTATTCCGGAAGGTACACTTTCAACGAAAGTTGTTTTATTGAGTTAAGAAAAACAGAAAGATTAAAAGTACTAGATAAAAGAATATAGCTAGCTAAGGTTCCGAACATGCCGAATGAGTTAACCATTTGACATTTGAATTCACATTGTTGCTCATTTCATATGATATTTGATATGTTATCTCCCAAGGATGAAGACAAATATATTGAATGACAACACAATGTGCAGCTATATGAAATGAAAGAGTATTGTTTTAAGTTTGTCTACATAGCAAAGGTATTCTATCATCCCTTTAAGAACATAACTAGGTTACTACTACGTGTGAGGACTAATGAAGAACAATCACCTGGTATACAGAAACTCTTGAAAGAATGATGAGCACTAACACAACCACTTTCACAAAGTTTCTTCGATTGCATCGACTTAAGTTGAACCATATAGACATTATGGCACACATATAGAAATATTTCATCAGTATCCTCAGCATATCTCAGTCTAACTAACAACCCTGGCCTCACTCCTTCAACCCCAGGGGGGATCCCATCAATGTTATGCATGTCAATGGTCTTCCACAACTCCCATTTGGTAGCACCCTGACAATTAACCTTCCTTTGCCACATTTGAATGTTATGGTAATAGTGAGACAATATGGCGATACCAACAGCGCCATCCATGATCTGGATCACCTCACGCATGTCAAAAAAGTGACGTGACTCATTTATAGTGGGAGGGGCACTGATCAAAGCTAGGATGTGCCCATCCAAATCAAACTCAATCATGTAATCTCTACACAACCAGTAAAGTGCATTACCAACTAGTGACCCATGAGTACCGCCACCAGGAAGCTCACATGGAGTCGGTGTTGAGATGACGTCGCCCCATATGCCAGCCTTCGAAGAGTAAACAGATGCTAAGATGAGTTGTGGACCACTATAGTAGGTGCTCGTGGATAGCAAGATCACCTTGAATGGGCTCGAGTAGCAGTTTCCGTGCACATGGTCGTGATCAGTAGCAGCACAGAGCACCGCCCCATTGACATAGCGTTTATTGAACTCCGGCGGAATGGACACACGGCACTCCTCGCCGTTCATGGGGGCAATGACAATAAGATCCTGCTGCGGCGGGCGCATGATGAGAAGGCGACCGTGGCGGCACCCAAGCAGTCGGAACCTCGAGAGGTTGCCGCTGTCAATGCCGTGGGGTCGCAGATCGAAACACTGTGGAGGGATACGATCGGGATGGTCCAGGATTGGTCTGAACACAATACCATCCAAGCTATCCTCGAAGAAACCAAGGAGGGGCGGCTTTTGGCGATATGCACGGAACTGGCGGTGGAACCTTGGGTCGGTGGTGCCGTGTCGCCACCGCTTGCAGAAGGCGGAGGCGCGGGGCAGGGAGGAGGGCTACGGCGGGAGACGGAGCAGGATCTCCCTCAGGAGATCGTCATCTTCAAGCGGTGAGGCCAGCGCCGCTGGCGAGCTATGGCGGCAGCGACGACTGCTGCGGATCACTCCGGATGCCTCCTCACTGGCGTGGACCTTGGGACGGAGGCGCGTGCTGCGCCGGCGAGCCACTCCTTGAACCTGGGGATGGAGGCGAGGGCTGCGGCGGCGGGTGACTCCGTCGCCCTCGTCACTTGCGTGGACTGGGGGATGGAGACGCGCACTGCGCCTCAGATTCAGTCCGGCTCCCTCCTCATTCGCCTGAACCTGGGGGTGGAGGCGTGGGCTGCGGCGGCGGGCCGCTCCGGCGGCATCTAGGGCGGCGTTCATCCGCGGGTTTGTAGGAGAGAATTGGTTGGGCTTGGACAAAGTAAATAAGGGCATGTACAATGGTTGATAAGATAGTCTTATCTTAAGTCTTGCATGTAATTTAGATATGACAAAAAAAGACGTCTACAATGGGTCATGTCCTAGCCTTATCTTCAATAACTAGCTATTCCTAAAAATGTGGTGAGACATATTGTGCTAAGAGATCATCTCTTGTCTTTTCTTAAATAAGAGAAGGCAAGCCTTTTCTTACGGGTTCTCTCTCCTCCACATCATCATTTATCCTACGTGACACTGCTAAGATAGCACCATTGTACATGCCCTAAGTGTTGGGCCCCCGTTCGTTCGCTCGTTGTCATCAACTCATGATCATTGTCTCAAAAAAATTTGAACTCATGATCCAACATACGATTGGAGTATTCTCTCTCTCTTTTATTTTTGGAATCTACGGTTGGAGTATTCTCAATAAACAAAAACCATACGGATTTAAGACCAACATCCTTACAAGACTTTGATGAACTCATCATACATCTCAGCCTAATTTATTTGCAGTGTCAATCTGTAATTGATAGCTTAAATTGCTATTTTTCCAACTGCTTCTTTCTTGCCACTGTAATTGATAGCTTAAATTGCTATTTTTTCAATCAATTTCTTCCCGGGCTACATTTTGTTGGGTACGCAGATGCAACTTGCAACAAGTTCATACACTAATTAATATCCAACACTTGATGGGGCAATGGATCCACGAAGAGCTTCATCCGGCCTGTATTCCCACTGTCATTGTGATTTTTTTTCCTTCGGCTCGTGCTGGTCTGTGTGTACTGTTATTGCTCAGACTTTTATGATGATGGCAACTCCGATTTCCCTTGTAATGAGTTCTTGTTGTGACTTATAAATGTGCCCTTCTGACAGAAGGGGTCGCCTTGTCGCGGTTTCCCTTGTACCCATTGGTGGACAAGGCCCGCATGCATCACTCTGGCAGCATACATCTGAGAATGGCTTGGAATTTTCCTCAAAAATCATAGAGAATGACTTGGTTTCAACTGTGATGAAGGCATAATTCAGCTGAGAATGACTTGGAATTTCAGTCAAAGTAGCTCTCGTGGAATTCTAGCTGAGATCAATCTAAAACTCCTGGGGTGTTGTGTGGCACATATTGACCATTGCAAAAGCAATGGACAGCAGTACCAACGTCAGTCAGTCTCAGGGCAAGAAATTTCAGTCGTGTAAAACAGGCGCTTGAAATGCCTTGGAAACCCAACAGAGAATTATAGTCAAGAATGCAACCTCCTGCCGTACGTGCTCCTGCGATTGTAGACTCGCCGAAGTCCAGTCCCTCGTCTTCAGCAGCAAACAACTTCTGTGGGAACGATGAGTCCTCTGGCTCATATGAACCACTTCTACGGAGACAGACTAACCTCCTCTGTTCGCTCCCCCCTTCCCCACGCGGGCGACGGGCGAATCCCCGCTCCTTCCTCTCCTACAGCCCACCTTCTCGCCGCTCTCCCCTGTCGCTGCTGCCGGCGTGGTCCGCCGGGCCTTGCCTGCATGGCGCAGACGGCGGCGGGCCGTTCTTTCCCAGCTTGCGTGGGGGCCCCCTGATGGCGGCGGTGCTCCTTGGCTGGCGACAATGTGGCTCGGCAGGGTTCTGCGGGCTGCAGGCATCCCTGATGCGGCAGCGCAGACGTTGGCTGATGGGCACGCGGTGGTGCGGCTGGGCGGCGGCGTCCGCTCCGCCTAGATCTGGGGCCTTTTGGGCCCCATCAGGGTTGGGGAGGGCCGGCGGTCCGGCGAGCGGCGGCGTGGCTCCCTGGTGGAGGTGGCGCGGCGTCGGGGGCTGCGGGTTGTGGCGGCTTCGTCGGTAGATGTGCTGCAGCGTGGCGGCAGGGTTTGTCAGGACCCTTTGGGGCCCAGCCAGGCTAGTTCAGGCCTGGTAGGCCCCTGTCATCACGTCCAGTTGGATCCACGGCGGTGGCGGTGGTTGTCCCCTCCCGTTGGCTGAGTTGCGGATGCCCCCAGCCCGTTGGCTCCTTGTCCCTCCTCGAGATGTCGTGTCGGTAGCCTCAGGGAGATGGCGAAGTTGGTTCGGTGACCGTGGTGGCACATCCCGGCGGGCGGCAGGTTTGGTGGTGCACTTCAGATCATCCGGCGTGGTGGTGGTTGTTTGGGTTGGGAGAAATCCCTGGCGGCTCATCCGACATCGACGCGGTGACGCCTGCGGGCGCCGCCAGACCTTCCTGAAGGGCGTCAGATATACCCCTTCCCCACTGGCCTTTGTGTACTGGGGGAAACCTTAGGACTTGTCTGGGCAGCAGCGGCGTCGCTGTTGAATTCCTTCTTGAAGGTGTTGCTCGGTATGCGACGCTTCGGGGTGCTAGGAGCACGGTGGTACTTTTCCGGAGGGTGCAACGGTTGTCGGTCATCTTCGTTTCGTTGACCTGCCATTGTCGGCATTTGTTTCTCTTTCTTATTCTCTCTTTTCCTTTGGGCTCGTTTGTGTTGTTGCCCCGACGAGCTGGTTGTATCGGATGGTTGCTTTATAATATAAAAGCGGGGGAAACCCTTTATTGTCATATGAACCACAACTCTGTAGCACTAGAATTTGACTTCGAATTCCACCAGAGTCATGGTGCATGGATAACTCTGTACCTTTTGAATTTCATCCCAGAGATAGGTCTGTTCATAGTTGCATATAGATTATAGATAGACCAAAGGAGTGGGCAGCGGTAGCAACATAAATTTGATTTAATCTTGTTTTCTGCAATTCAACTCATGTTTCAACTAAACTATATCTTCCTGCCAACAAAAGCACATCGACTTTTCCCGCCCAGCATGCCAATTTGTAAATCTTCTAGGAATGACATGCTTTGCGAACCACAGCTGAGAAGCACAAAAACTGGCATGGCTTAGGAGAAGAGCTGCCAAGTAGAAGCACATACAAAAATCAAGAGACAATGAAGTCCTGCTCAAAACAATAATAAGGTATTCAAAGGCATCCGACTACATTGCAAACTTTTTTTTGAGAACGCTGCATTACAAACTTAGCCAGACTAAAGTGCGTGCTCAGTTAGTTTTTCAAATAACATATAGACACTGCCAAGCACATTGAAGAAACGCGGCAAACTCAGCTACATCTAACAACTGAAGTAGCCCTTTCTTCACCTGGATACAACAGAAGTGTTAGTCTATTAGTGAGTCAGTGCAGAAAAAGAGACAATATAACAGAAACACCTATGTATGATAGTGTATGAACAAGAATTTAGTGGCTATATCATATCACCTAAATTAATCAAAGCTATATCATGTCCCTTAGAAAAATATAGGGTTGTATCATATTCCTGACTATCTCCTAGAAATAGCAATGACAACAAAATAAACCCTTCAGCCTTTTCCCACAAACTAATTCAGTTGGGGAATTGAATGATGTGGCCGGCGTTTGTTATAATAAATTGAGCTACTAATACATTGCTTTCAGCTTATTGAATGTGAAACAACCAAACCAATTGAAAACTCTATGCATAAAACATGTGGATCATTCATTTAATTCAACAGGAGTTATATTTTTACTTAGCATTGCCACAATTCTAAGTGTTTGTCCGTGTCATTAGCATGTGTGCATCCCTAATAGTGGCTGAATAGTAGTTTGAGAGCGCATGCTACCCACATTGGTCACAAAATATTTTCTAAAGAGAAAATCAAATAGTTCAAATCCCAGAAACTATATGCAAAAGTTCTTTTTACCCGTTGAACTGCTTCAACGCATTAGCATTCAAATCAGAGAGTCGTCATGTGCAATGTGCAACATTTTCTCAACTAGATTCATCCTTAATGTACGCGGATTTGAATATCTTTTACGCGAATTAGAAAACAAATGTGTGGGATTTGAAAAATTATGTCAACTTGAAACAAGTATGTGAATTTCAAACAATGTTCATGGATTGGAAAAGGAACACGGATTTGAAAAAAATACACGAACTTTAAAAAGTATGCAGATTTGAAACAAGTACGTGAACTTCAAAAACATTTCATGGATTTGAAACAAAATACTTGGATTCGATAAAATTACACGAACTTGAAAAAAATACACTGATTTGAGAAAAATACACACATTAAAAAAATCATGGATTTGAAAAAAGTACACAAATTTCAAAATAGTTCACGGGTTTGAAAAAGGTATGTTTATTTTTGAAAAAGTTGCATGACCTTGAAAAAACTATGTGGATTTGAAAAGAGTATGTATATGAAAAAATTACTTTAGTCAGCACCGGTCAAAACCGGGGTCAGTCGGCACCAAAACCGGTCAAAATCCAGACCAGGGATAAACCTTGTCCGGTTTCGTTAGTTGGGGGTACAAGTTGTCTGGTTTCGGAGTTGAGGGACCAAATCTAGACTTCACCAAGAGTTGAGGGACGAAAAGTATACTTTTCTCTATATATAAAGACCAAGGATGATCAATCACCTAGTGGACAGATACTCGCTAAAGTATAGCAGTAATATGTAGAGCTGATTCCATTAAGTTTCCTGGCTTGCATTGACTTTGGCTGAACCATATACACACTATCGTGCCTCTCTAAAAAGATTACATCGGCATCCTCATCATAACCCACCACTTTGAGCGGTTCAATCCTTCTCATAGTCCAAGAAGGGATCTTAAGAAGTTCACGCAATGAAACAGTCTTCTGCAGCAACCATATGGCAACACCCCGACAATTGACCTTCCTCTGCCACATATGAAGGTCAAGGCGAGACAAGGCGACAAGACCAACAATGCCATCCTCTGCGTCAATGATATGAAAGTTGTCGAAATCATTCATATTCATACCTGGAGGCCCCTTGATAACATTAAGGTTCTGCGTGCCCAAATCAAACTCAACTATGTCATCTCCTTTTTTCTTAGCTGGCCAGTAAAGGACATTATCTACAAGGGTGCTACAACAAGGACCAAATATTGTATCATCTGAAGCTACTGTTGAGATGACATTGCCCCATGTGGCAGTCTCTGAGGAGTAAACGCATGCATAGGGGTGCTTATTCTCTCTGTAGGACACCAAGACCACCTTGAAGGGGCATAAGTGGCAGCTGCCGTGCACATGGCCCTGGTCGCTAGCAGCACAAAGCACTGTCGCGTTAAAGAAGCGTTCGTTGAACTCGGGCGGAATGGGCACTCGGTGATGTTTGCTGGTGATAGGATCACAAACGACGACCTCTTGATGCTGCAAGTCTTTGACGAGGACACGGCCGTGGCGGGAATCAATCAGGATGCAGTTGCTGTAGTGTCCAAGGGAGAAGCGCCCAGGGGTGATGCGGTCGGGAGCGGGGGCCACCGGGACGGGCATGAACGGGGTCTGTGTGCTGCCGCAATGGAAGAAGCCGAGGAGGGGCGGCTTGCGGTGGTGCGTGTAGAACCGGCGGAGGAACTTGGGGTCGGCGAGGATGCCTCGCCACTGCTTGCACACGGCGGAGGCGCGGGGGAGAGAGTATAGGTCCAGGGGGAGGCGGAGGAGGATCTCCCGGAGCATATCTTCGCTGTCCGGCAGGGAGGCAGGCGGCTCCAGTGAGGTGTCGTCGTCCTCCTCGCTCGCGTGGTTCTGGGGGCGGAGGCCCATACCGCGCCGATGGTGGCGCTTACCGCTCCGGCGGTTGCAGGCCACTCCGGCGCCATCCTCATTGGTGTTTATTTGGGGACGGAGGCGCGTGGTGCGTGAGCGGGCCGGTCCGGATCCCTCGTCGCTCGCATGGATCTGGTAACGGAGGCGCGCTGTGCAGCGGCGGCCGGCGCCACCCTCGCCGCGTTGGAGGTGGCTCATTGAAAGATACGTCTCAGTGCAAGCTGTTCTCCTTGTCCTCACGATACAAACTTTACACATATATTAGTAGTATATAACAGCCGACCTGACGGATCTAACACAAATCCTCTAAACCTACACGGACAAAGGCAAGCAAACTCCTACCCGGACTCAACATGAACACGTACCACTAATCCTAACCGGACTAGTAACGCCGGGGTGCAAGCCCGCTGATCCTTTATCTTCAGCACAAAACTGCTGGTGCGAGACTGACGAGCCCTCTGCCTCACTCGTATCCAAATTTCTACACCAATAATATCAATCGTAAACGCCAAAAGCAAAACTGTGCTTGAAGGGTTCATTTTCCATCACACTTCTCTTCCATCCAAACAACGACTCAACTTTCTCTCTGTGCAAACATTGGCCAGTCCAGCATTTGTTGCTTTTATTAAAAAAAATCTCGAGCAACTTGCTGTAATACAGTGAGTTTAGGCTGTTCGTAATGGTAATATCATAGCTAGTATCATACATGCCAACTAGACAATTTTGATGAGGTGTCATTGAATTAAATGAAGAAAGAGATGGTTGAGTATCATATCATGATACTGTATCATAATAAATGCTATGCTAGTATGTGTCATACATGACAATAAATAAAGTACTACATGATACTAATATATGATACTATGCATTATGGAGGTAGTATCATACACTAGTATCATTATCATATGTATGATACTAGTATATGATACTCCCCATTACAACCAGCCTTAGGCCAAATAACATTTTTCTCTCCCTAGTCTGGTCTCTTTTAGTGCAACAATTATTTCCATCAGCGCTGCACTTCTCCCATTAATTTCCTGCTATTAATCTCAATGCAAATGAGAAAAAAAGGGAGGGCGCACAGGTGGATCGTGATCGACGGCGCTCGCACGCTTTCTAAGCTACAACCAAGAAGCACACTCAAACACACACGTTTCGGCTGAAGCTGTCATGGTTATAGACAAGAGCTGCCAAGCACAAACACCTGCATAAGCCAAAGGACGCTGAAATCCAACTTGAAATAATACTAGAGTATCCAAAAGCATCTTGCTACATTAGAAACTTAGCTAGACTGAAGTGCACACTTAGTAAGTTTCTTCATATAACACAAACACTGCCAACCACAATGATGATGCACGATAAACTCAATGACAGCAAAAAAACTGCAGCACCCCTTTCTTCACCTGGAGAACACAAAAGCATTAATCTGCATGTAACCTAATACAGATGAAGATCAAATCTAACAAAAGCACCCATGTAACTTTCTAGTGTATGAAACAGAGTATGTGTACAAACTCATGATAGGTCAGCAATGTAAAGAAGAGCTATATCATATCCCCTCGAAAAAAAGATGAGCTATATGGGAGGGGCGTTTTGGCTCCCGGGTCCAGATGATCCCGAAATCTGGGCCGTGGGTTTGCGCTGTGGGATCTGTGTCAGGCATTATCCAGTTTGATATACTAGTCCAGAATAAGAGGAAATACACACGCGTGGGGTCCTGTACGTAGAGCATCAGCGAACGGCAGGGGCTCCGTTAACGGCGGGTGAGCGAGCAGCCGTTTCTCAAACAGGTCGCGCCGTCTGCAGATGTTTAGTACTGCACGTTCCTGGACCCACAAGTCAGCCGGGGCGAGAATGAATGCATCCCCGTCCACCACAGGTTGCATCCTCTGTTTTGGGGGAAAAGGGGATCGGGACCAGGGGAGCAATGGAGTTGGGTGGGCGGCGGCGGCGGAGAGCTTCTCAGATTTGCGACGGTGCGGGCATGGCTATGGATTTTCCCGTCTCTCCGATAGACAAGTAAGATATGATAGAATGCTTTGGATCGGGACGGTTAGATCATTCCGGTGAACCTACCTTCTCCTTGTCCAGATGAGCTCGATCCAGCGCCGGCCATGGTGAAGTTGGTTGGTGATGGCAGAGAGGGGATGGCAGCGGTGGAGCTTCCCGTGAGCACCGCGCTAACCCTGGATCGGTAGGGATTGTAGGTGGGGATTGTGGCAGCGATTAACCTCGTAATTCATGCACCGGCCCCCACCTCTGTTAATATAGTGCGGGTCACAGGGGCCCACCAACCATAATGGGTTGGGCGCCCCCGATCAGGGCGCATTGACCAAGGGCCTGGCAGGCCATTGGGCTTGCTCAGAGGAGATCAACCTAACATTCTCCCCCTTGATCTCAACACTTTTAACCTTATACTTTCTAGTTTATTTGTTTCATCACATATTGATACATAGAGCATGTTTCATCGTCACAGCTCATTTGCCGATAGAATCATATAGCTACAACATGCGTTATGTTCAGAAACAAATTCTGTTCCTTTTGGGCCTATCCAGAAATCATAAGGCTTTCCCTTAAACCCATGCCGGCTAAGTGTTCCTTGAACACATTGGGTGGTAAGCCTTTCGTTAGCGGGTCCGCAAGCATATCCTTTGTCTTATATGCTCGAGACTTATAGTTTGATCCTGGATTCTATCTTTCACAACATAATACCTTATCTCTATTATTTTGGCAGCATTACTCGACTTGTTGTTGTGAGCGTAAAATACTGCGGGCTGGTTGTCACAGTACATCTTTAGTGGTTTGTGAATACAATCTACCACTTTCAAGTCGGGTATAAATTTCTTTAGCCATATCGCCTGCCCCGTGGCTTCGAAGCATGCTATGAATTCTGCATACATCGTGGATGATGCAACTATCGACTGCTTGGAGCTTTTCCACGAAATAGCTCCCCCAGCTAGAGTGAAGATGTATCCAGACGTGGATTTTCTATCATCTCTGTCCCCCGCAAAATCTGCGTCTGAATACCCTTTATCTCTAGGGAATCACTTCTCCTGTATATTAGCATGTAGTCCTTCGTGCCTTGCGCATAACGCAATGCTTTCTTTACCATCTTCCAGTGCTCTATGCCTGGATTCTCTTGATATCTACCGAGTACCCCGGTGACAAAGGCTAAGTCAGGGCGAGTGCACACTTGTGCATACTGAAGGAAATATGCCCTAGAGGCAATAATAAAGTTATTATTTATTTCCTCATATCATGATAAATGTTTATTATTCATGCTAGAATTGTATTAACCGGAAACATGATACATGTGTGAATACATAGACAAACATAACGTCACTAGTATGCCTCTACTTGACTAGCTCATGAATTAAAGATGGTTATGTTTCCTAACCATAGACATGTGTTGTCATTTGATTAATGGGATCACATCATTAGGAGAATGATGTGATTGACATGACCCATTCCGTTAGTCTAGCACTTGATCGTTTAGTATATTGCTATTGCTTTCTTCATGACTTATACATGTTCCTGTAACTATGAGATTATGCAACTCCCGTTTACCGGAGGAACACTTTGGGTGCTACTGTCGGTGTCAAAACCGGTGGATCTCGGGTAGGGGGTCCCGAACTGTGCGTCTAGGCGGATGGTAACAGGAGACGAGGGACACGATATTTTTACCCAGGTTCGGGCCCTCTCGATGGAGGTAAAACCCTACGTCCTGCTTGATTAATATTGATGATATGGGTAGTACAAGAGTAGGTCTACCACGAGATCAAGGAGGCTAAACCCTAGAAGCTAGCCTATGGTATGATTGTTGTAATGTATGTTGTGTCGACTAGCCTGGCCTCGGTTTATATAATGCACCAGAGGCCTAGGATAACATGAGTCCTAGCCAAATACGCCGGTGGGGGAGGAGTCCTTGTCTTGATCGCCAAGTCTTGTGGAATCTTCCTTGTATGCGGCAACTGTCCGGACTAGCCCATGAGTATACGGCCATGGGGATCCTCGGCCCAATCCACCTGATCGGGAGACGACGTGGTGAGTACCCCCTAGTCCAGGACACCGTCAGTAGCCCCCTGAACCGGTCTTCAAGTTAGGGACGCTCCTCGATTCTTCCGAACTGTTCTTCATCTTCGGTCGTCGGTCTTGAAAACTGGTTCAACGAATCTTCTTTATCTTCGATCTTGAGGATCGCCGAAATGCATTCGACGGGTTTACATGTCGGGTATCCGAGGAGCCCCTTTAAGTTTCTGGCCTTTATCAATGCCTCGTTATTTTTATGCCACACCTCGGGTTTGAAGTTGTTCCCGGGCGGCAGCGTCCTCTTGCGTCCGAGCTCTAACGCCGGACTCCATTCGAGGTATCTTTTGCAGCCAAGCACCAACGCCGGACTGCTTCCCAGTTTTAACGCCGGAACGTATCCGAGCTCCAACGCCGGATTATGTATCCGAGCTCCAACGTCGGACTATGTATCCGAGCTCCAACGCCGGACTGTATCCGAGCTCCAACGCCGGACTGTATCCGAGGTGTCGTAAATCACCTTGGTTCAAAGAAGTTTGAAGGAGTTTAGCCGAGCTTAATGCCGGAAGTGCCCTCTATGGAGCCAGCCACTAGCACCCGAGCTTTATGCCGGACTGCTTCCGAGGTGGTGCACCACCCCGACTGTGGGCCGATTTTTTGTCAATATTTTTTATTATTGCAATTTATTCTCTGCCGAGATATATAGCCAGTAGCCCTCAAGGTGTGTATCGGTCTAAAACCCGAGATGCACCTGAAGGATGACGTAAGACCGCTGATCCCAGTAGCCGCTGAGACTCAGGTTGATTTGCAAAATCAGTCTGAGGATCAAGTCCTAGCTCGGTAGAATACTTTGGGACACAAAAAGCGGCGTGCTCAGTCCTCGAGACTCAGGTTGGGTGCGGCCGACCAACCTGAGGATCAAAATCTCCTCGGAAACTATATTGCACATAAAATTTTCTGCATTGGGCAAGCACTGCAGTAGCCCCCGAGACACTGGTCGGGTGGCAACACCAGATCAGGGGATCAATATGCCCCTTTGATATGTTTTAAATAATAAGCCCGAAGCCCAGTAGCCCCCGAGCCTTAATGCGGGCACGGGTGGCCGAATTAAGGATCAATATCCATAGTAAAATCACAAATTATGTGTAATGACTCTATGTATCCAAGTACTTTACGTCATTGATGCTCGGATCCGCATTGTACAAAACTTTGTTGACCGACCATCGGCTTCC